TTGATTTGTTGAAAAGGTTGAAAAATGCGGGACAAACGGTACGAGGCAAAAACCTTGTAAATTTTTATCACAGAACAGAAAATACCTAATATAGAAGCTTTCAATTAGATACTCCGACAGTGTCTAATCGAAAGCTTCTAATTTTGCTATCCGTCAATAAAAATGTTGTTGTTTTGATCTCGTACACATCATTCTGGCATTTTTCAATCTTTTCAACAAATCAACTTGAAAATATGAGATGCACCATCTGAAGTTGATGCTTTGGACTAGGTTTTATCGCCGAACAAGGTTCACTGGTATTTCTGCTAAATAGTGAAAAATCTAAGTGTCTGTTATTTTTCTAACTTTATTCAAAGTATCGAAAAGTAGACCATTTTTTAAAAACGATGATAGCTTTGTTAAAAAACCAAATTTGTCTATTAGACTGCCAGACCGTATAGTGTCAAGGGATCACTTTTTTCTAGATTGGATGACTAATCTACTAATGTACATTTTTTGATAGATAATGTGGAGTTCAGTCAGCTGGAAAATCAATATTTATGATTGTCTTACGTACTATACAAAAGAGCATGCTATCTGCTCTTTGTGACACAGTTAACATATATTATGAACGCCCTACAAAAAAACATTTTATCGGCGGCTGTGAAAATATGAGATGCACCATCTGAAGTTGATGCTTTGGACTTGGTTTTATCGTCGAACGGGGTTCGCTGATATGCCTACTAAATAGTGAGAAACGTAGAGTTCTTTCTGTTCGGAAAAGACAAGGTTTCGTTCTTCTTCGCTATCAAAGGAAATTCATGCGTACAAAACCTTTACATAGCCAATTGAAGAAAAGATTTATCGGCGGATAAGTTTAGTTATTATTGCGAATACTTTCAATCTAGATTGGAAGATGCTGTCAAGACAATTGCATTTTTATATCAATCAAGACAAATCTAATAAAGTTGCTTTTAGATATTTTGAATCACATTATTCCACAAATGACAACGGGCGAAATTCATTCATTGCATAAATTATGGACACATCTTTGTCAGATGGCAGAAGCATTAAACGATAGATCAAAGATCATAGCAGAATACAACGACAAAATGCCAGCTGATGATCATTTCTTGTGTAGTTATAGACAACGATATGTAAGCGATCCATCTCAGCAAATTAAAAATATTTACATATCAACTAATTCCACTAAATTTGATCGATTTAATGATTTTGTTGGATTCTTAATTTATTCATATGATGACAAAACAGACTTTTATCTCAGTAACAGACACTGTAAAACTGGCTGCCTTTTAATAAAAGAAATTTCAACTGTTAATCATATTGTACACAATGGAATGCCTGAAAAATTATTTGAATGGTTTTTCAATGGTACAGAAGTAGATCAGAAATTTAAAGGTATTGGCTTTCGTTTTCGGGCTCACAAACGTGAGTGGCGATTTCATCGTTTCAATGATGAAGAAGTGCATCCAAACGAAAAGAAACTAGTTGAAATGGCTTTATTATGCATGTATGAAAATGGGAGCTGGATAACAAATCAAAGCATGAACGTTGATCAATTGAAAAAAATGGCAAGAGACATGTTTTACATGAAATTGCATGAAATTAAAACGGTATTTGACAGTAGAAAGAATGAATTAGAGCATAATGATCAATCTTCACAAATGTCTTCAAATCATAATCCTCATGAAGCATCATCTTCTTTACAGCTTAATTCTTTCGAGGGATCTCCTGTGCATAATCCAGCAATTTTAAACAAGGACGATGGATGGAATTATGTCCAAGCCCTTAGAATAATTGAGGAGCGAATAAATAATTATCAAAAACGCATGGATCAGCTATTAGATGATGTTTAAATCGAAGTTGAACCATAATAGAGTGTTAATGGACACTCAACTGCACGCAACTAAAACCACAATATTAATCTGATTTTAAATTAAATTAGGAAATAAAAAACACTAAAATTGCCTGGATGCTAAATTTATCTGCCTTATGTGCCACTTAGAAGAACACATTAAGGGCTCTCCCTCTCTCTTTTTTTAACTTCTTGGCAAATCAAGAGCAAACGTTCGATGGACTCAAATTCAATTAAAAGGTAAAACATCGAAAAAGAAAATCCATGTATTTTTGCCCAGAATTTTCTGGCATGTTCTTCTATGAGTTTTCTAGAAAATTTTGGTTTTCATTGAAGTACATTATAATTCCTCGAAAACTTCATTCAATCGGGTTCAAAATTTTACCACAGGTATCTGGAAAGATATCTTAAAACCATAAAATTCCTTTTTAGTTTACAAGCTTTCCTTCTCGAAATATAAAAAGAATGGTAAAAGCGCCCAAGTGAGATCTATAATTTTGATCTTGAAAAAACTCATTCTGAGCAAAAATATATCGATTTTCTTTTTCGATGTTCTATCTCTGGTATGAATTTGATTCCCTTGGACTTTCGCCCTCGATTTGCCAAGAAGGTAAAAAAACAGAGAGAAGTACCCTTAGGCAAGTCCTGTGGTAAGATCGCTCGGAGATAATATTGTTTTGTGTTTATTCGTTGAAGAACCTTTATTGACGCGTTTCTTTCTATGTACTGTGTGCCGAGCGTCATTATTCTTCACTGTATCATTACTTTATTTCACTTATGTTAGTTTGTATGCATTCATCAATACATTTACACAATTGAACAATAATTTCATATCTAACCAGTTATCATCACCGTACCTTGATGTTTCTAACTGGGTCATCACACCCTAGTCGAGACTCCCGGCAAAACTCCCACGGGACTCCTGTCACGGGGTCCTGTAGGAGTCAGGTGGGACTTTCAAGGGATTTCTCAGGACTCCTGAAGACTCCCGTGGGACTTTGAGGATTCTGAGGACTTTCGTTGGACTCCCACAGGACTCGAAACCTCCACAGAAGTCCCACGG